GCAGAGCTGCACCAGTTGAAGTTAACATCAGACATTAAAAACAATTTAGATAAACCAGCTGAAGAGTTTGAGATAACAGACTACTTTTTCCAGGCAGACTTATTTCAGTTCAGTTTAAGTCTATTTCATAAAATGTTCTAGTTCAATCGAAATACGCCACTACTAAATGGAAATTAGTGTCTACACAGACGCTTTGATCATTTTTACAATGCTGTTTTTTGTTTACATAATTTTTATCCATGCGCGTTGTATGGCCAAGACCACAATCCCACACAAGGTGGATGGCACTTGCTTAGGATTTTGGTGGAGCTGGATTTACCCAACACCCAATACACAGAAAGAGCTTGAACTGGAAAGGCAACTGTTAATTCTCAACATTTTTTAGAGGCTGGCAGGGAGCTGGCAATTTGAAGGTGCTAAAGGTTTTTTGTTCAAAAGCCTATTTCAGTTGAAATTGCAAGAGAGACCATGACAATGGCATCCTTTTCTTCTTGATGCTGTGCTATGCCGTATACACATTTTATTTCTCTCAAGCCTATATCCTGTTAGTGGAGTTTTAACATTATAACTGATCTATTGAAGATTATTTTAGTGTGTGGCTTTCCTTACTTTCTATTTCAGATGCTGTGTTTGTGTCTCTTTTCTGTTTTCTCCATTTTATTTTCCATCAAACCCTTCTCTATCATTTCCTTCCGTGCACCTTATCTAGTTCCAGGCCTGCTTGTTTTTAGCTGAAAGAAAAGTCTGGGAGTGAAATGCTATCTTCTCTTTTGTGATTTCGGCCATCCTTAGCTCCTGTACTGTGCACCTCAAGGGCTGACCTGTTGGTAGGGGAGACAAGTGCCGCGGCCCCTATTTTGCTGAAAATCAGAATTGTTTAATGCTGTGGTTCTCAGACATGAGAGAGACAATGCTGTAGTGGCATATGTGGTGAGAAAGAAATGACGCTGCCATGGGCTGCTAGCAAGGAAAGCGTAGCCCATGGACTCTAGCTGGTGGGGTGGCAGAAGTTACGAACGCTTCCATTTTATTCCTGGTTGTGCCAGTGATTCACTAGGGGACAATATTTGAGTGTTTTACTTTTTTGGGGCCTCCGTTTACCCTTCAGTAAGATGAGTAAAGTAATCCAGCTTTACAAAGTGCCTTTAAATTCACGGTTGAAAGTGGTGATGGAGATAATAGATATTTCTTATTGTTATTGTTATTAATGTTATTATTATTTATCAGACTTTTTTTTATTAAGCTACCTACATTTTGCGTTGACAGAATTAAAAGGCACGAGACCCTCATATTTACTTGTACTGAAAATTGAAAGAGTGACGGATGAGTAGCAACTGCCGTTTGCTTGTCAGAAGCAATACGGTACAACAGCTGATCTCCAAAGCAGCCAAATTGTACCCTATTGAAAGAGCAAAGTGCAGTGTAAAATTATTTCAAAATAAGATTCTGTTTCTTCCTGAAGCAGGTGGCAATTTATATCATAGGATCTGGCTTTAATTTTCAATAGCATTTTTTTTAAACAAACAAAAATACAAAAATACAAAACATAATTTCCCCATAATTTGTGGGAACATATTTCATGTTCTTCTGTCAGCAGGATGCCAAGGCTATTGGCATTTATTAGGTACATCTAGGACTGCAGGCTCTGCAAATTGGTATATATCCACAGTTGTTCAATTCAGTTCATTATCTAAGAGTTTTGCAATTCCCACTGCATCTGTGATTGCAGTGTAGCAAAGAGTAGATATCAGCTAGGGTGTCTAGACTGTGGAATAGGCTGCCTCCAGAGGTGGTGCAACCTCCTACCCTGGAAATCTTCAAGAGGAGACTGGATGGTCACCTTGCTGGGGTCACCTGACTCCCAGTCATCTTTCCTGCCTTGTGCAGGGGGCTGGACCCAATGATCCCCCGAGGTCCCTTGCAGCCTCGCAATCTATGAGTGCTGGCAGCAGTCTAGCCACAGCAACACAAAGCTCAGCACATGCTAGATTAACTTTTCACAAAGTTAGATCCAATAAGTATTGAATGATGGTCTCCTAAGTAACTTCTCCTAGAGTGAAATCCTGAACTGCAAAGAGGTGTTCTGACTCTCCAAATGATGCATGGGGTGAGTTAGGCACCAAAGAAAAGGATCCACAGAAACCACCTGAGCATGTCCCTGTCTAAATTGGTTAGAAAAGAGAGAGCCGGAGACAGGCCATGGGTCCTTTTGGGATCCTGAGTAATGAAACTTCTCTGGGCTTAGGCTCTTAGATGGAAGCATCCAAAAGTAATATTTTATACTGTCTCTGGTTAGCTCAGAAAATCTGTCCTGTTTTGGTGAGTGATGACCCCTCGCTTCAGTTGTACACTCCTCCAACACTCCCATCTGGACATAATATATTGCTACACGAAGCAATCAGCCAATTAGAACTCCGACTAGTGCAGAACATTGTCATGGATCTCCTCAGCAACACATCAAACTCATCCCATGTCCTCCACCAATTATCAAATTTGTAGGAGCTCTGGGATAAGGACTGAGGTCAAAAGATCTCCTCCTTGCTTTCTTGGGCATTAGTCCAAGATTGTGGAATGACCTGCCAGAGGAACTAAGTTCCATCAAAGACCTCATTCACCTACCATTTATTCAACATTGTATTCTCTAATATGTACACTGAACAATATGTACATACTGTATGGAAAAAAAACACTAACAAACAAAAGGCCTGTTGAGGGTCTCTGGGCTAGGGTCAGACGGAAGAGCAATAAGGGTGATGTCGTGGTGGGGTTCTGCTGTAGACCACCAGACCAGGAAGAAGTGATGGATGAGGCTTTCTTCAAACAGCTAGCAAAAGTTTCCTGATCACAGGCCCTGGTTCTCATGGGGGACTTCAATCACCCTGACATCTGGGAGGGCAATACAGCAGTGCATAGGCAATTCAAGAAGTTTTTGGAGAGTGTTGAAAAGGCCAACTAGGGGCCATGTTCTGCTTGACCTGCTGCTCACAAACAGGGAAGAATTGGTGGGGAATGTAGCAGTGGATGGCTACTTGGGAAGCAGTGACCACGAGATGATAGAGTTCAGGATCCTGAGGAAAGGAAGGAAGGAGAGCAACAGAGTAAGGACCCTGGGTTTGACTTGCTTAGGCAACTCATGGGCAGGATTTTCTGGGAAGCCAGACTGAGGGGGAGAGGAGTCCAGGAGAGCTGGCTGAACTTTAAAGAAACCTTACTGAGCATGCAGGAACAAACCATCCTGATGTGCAGGAAGACTAGCAAGTATAGCAGAAGATCAGCTTGGCTTAGCAGGGAACTCTCCCATAAACTAAACCACAAAAAGGAAGCTTATAAGAAGCAGAAACTTGGACAAATAACCAGGGAAGAATATAAGAGCATTGCTTGGGCCTGCAGGGATGAAGTCAGGAAAGCTAAAGCGCAGTGAGTTGCAGCTAGCAAGGGATGTGAAGGGTAACAAGAACGGTTTCTACAAGTATGGCAATAGCAAAAGGAGGATCAGGGAAACTGTGGGTCCCTTTGATATGGTCTCCCACAACATTCTCCCAGGCAAGCTAAGGAAGTGTGGGCTGGATGAATGGACTGTAAGGTGGACTGAAAACTGGCTGGAGCATCAGGCTCAGAGGGTAGTTATCAATGACTCATTGTCTAGTTGGCAGCCAGAATCAAGCGGAGTGCCCCAGGGGTCAGTCCTGGGGCCGGTTTTGTTCAATGTCTTCATTGCCGACCTGGAAGATGGCATGGAGTGCACCCTCAGCAAGTTTGCAGATGACACCAAGCTGGAGGGAGTAGTAGATACACTGGAAGTTAGGGCTAGGATTCAGAGTGACCTAGACAAATTGGAGGATTTGGCTAAAAGGAATCTCATGAGGTGCAACAAGGACAAGTGCAAAGTCCTGCACTTAGGACAGGAGCAATCCCGTGCACTAGTACAGGCTGGGGGCTGACTGGCTGGGCAGCAGCATTGCAGAAAAGGACCTGGGGGTTACAGTTGACAGTAAGCTGAATATGAGCCAGCAGCGTGCTGGTGTTGCCAAGAAGGCTAATGGCATCCTGGGCTGCACTGGTAGGTGTGTTGTCAGTGGGTCAATGGAAGTGATTATTCCCCTCTCTTCAGCACTGGTGAAGCCACATCTGAAGTCCTGTGTCCAGTTTTGGGTTCCCCACTATAGAAAGGACGTGTACAAATTGGAGAGACTCCAGTGGAGGGCAACAAAAATGATAAGGGGGCTGGGGCACATGACTTATCAGGAAAGACTGAGGGAACTGGGCTTATTTAGTCTAGCGAAGAGGAGACTGAGAGGGGACTTAATAGCAGCCTTTGACTACCTAAAGGGAGTTCACAAAAGAAGATGGAGCTGGACTGTTCCTAGTGGTGGCAGATGACAGAACAAGGAGCAATGGTCTCAAGTTGCAGCAAGGGAAGTTTAGGTTAGATATTAGGAAATTCTCACTAGAGGGTAGTAAAACATTGGAACAGGTTACCCAGAAAGGTAGTGGAAGCTCCATCCTTGGGGTTTTTCAAAACCCACAAAAGCCCTGGCTGGGATGATCTAGTTGGGGATGGTCCTGCTTTGAGCAGGAGGTTGGACTAGATGACCTCTTGAGATTCCTTCCAACCCTCCCTTTCTATGATTCTATAACACTTTGCTGGGCCCACAATTTCCTTGGGAAGAGAATGAAAGAAAAAAATATGATAATAGATATTGGTCATATCAATAATGCACAACTGAAAAGTGCTCAATTACTTTGGTGATCAGACTAGTATGAAAACATAGAATGGTACCGAACAGAAATTGTTTCTTCTTATATGTGTCGATTATGACAATAAAAATAGTTTTGGTACATAGAAGTCCTTATGTGATATAGGAACTGGATTTTTTTGGTTTAGACAAGTGCTAAAAATGAGAGAGATTTCAAGGAAAGTATTTGTGGGCTTGGCATGAAGCATTCATTCCCATAGAGGTACCTTGCCAAAAACCCAATACTTTTTATCTAATACTTACTGTCCCGGGGTTGAATTGAAAGCTGATGAGAACAAGGATCTGAGCCACTAAGATGGCAAAGGACAGGTTGGCATGGATGTGGTAGCGCTGGTTACGGATGGTGCTGACAGACCTGGGTAAAGAAGAAAAGGTTCATAACTAAAATAGTATTCCACAGAGCAAAAGTACATTTGATTTACCTGCAAGTTTGTTTGCTTTTTTATTATTATGAGTTTTGGGTTCTTTCATCTTCCAGGAGTAGGCAATATGTCATTACGTTCAACAGTATGCTGACATGACAATGAATTCACCAAAAGCATTGATTTGCACATGAAATAGTTGTATTAATGACTGGTGGAAGAGTATTAATAAAAGGCCTGAGCTTTCAAGGCTCCCAGAACTACAGTAGGGGTAGAGGTAGATTAGCACCTTGCAGGATCCAGCCCCATACCTCAGCACTTTAGCTGGTATCTAGCACAATAATTTTATGCAGGAATAGATAAAGAACAGTATATGCCTACGTCCCTGGGGAATGCCCACTTTAAGGAGGGCCTGACCTTGATTACAAAACCTGAACATTATCACAAAACAAATTAAATGAACCTCTCCCCATTGGCTTGAAAACAGCAGGCTGGAAATCTTATAAGAACAGGCTTTCTTAGGAGTTTTCAATCACTTGATTATGTTCCCAGTTAGAACCAGGAGGGAAAAAAGACACACACACACACACACACACACACACTTATCTGAACATTTCAGAAAATCAACATAATTTGATTCTAAGAAGAGAAGAATGTTTAGGAACAAAAAGCTTTCTTACTTAATGAATCCTGTTTCTAAGGGCATGGGTAGACGAAACAGGGGCCCTAAATTGAAGTGGTGGTCTTTTAAAAACACCGTTTCAATTTAGGGCTGATTAAACCTCATGTTGTGCACACACCGGACTTACCTGCCTCTTCATCAGAGGGTACAAAGGGCAAGCTGCCAGTAAGTGGAGTGGTCCCTGGGCAGCGGGGGGGCGGTGGGGGGGCATGTGTGCTGGTGCTTTCCTTCAAGGCAGTGACACCACCCCCCCCCCCCACCACCAGGAGGCACTCACCCGCGGGCACCCGGCTCGGGCAGTCCTGGGGGGCACTGCAGTCATGGAGGGAAACACCAGGCCCCCACACAGCTCAAGCAGGCTCCAGAGCAGGGGGGAAAAAAAAGATCAGGCTCTCTGCTTTTCTTGGGCGAAACCTGCCTTCCCAGGCTGCTGCCAGGCTGCCTGCAGGGTTCCTGCAGAGCTCCGGAGCTGCCCAGAGCCTGGTGCTTTGCTCCACAGCTGTAAGGGCAGCAAACTAAAACTCCTCCTCGGAGTAATGCACCCCAAGTCATTTAAGGTGCATTACACTGTTGAATTTCCTACAGTGGCTGGAATTAATGCGCAATACACTGCCAAGGCGTGCAAACACCAACACCATTGAAGTGGTGCAAAAGCACTTTAAAGTGTCGTGCACACACGCCCCTTGTTTCGTCTGCACATAGCTTCAGTTCCTACCTGTTGGTTTTAACTGTTTAATGGTAAATGGGTGGTTGTTTGGTATCAAGGACAGTAGTGTATTCTATATCCAAACCAGACTCTACCTATGCCTGAAGAAGGATGTTTGTGCCCGAAAGCTTGTACAGAACAATTTTTCCAACTTTTTAGTTGGTCTAATAAAAGATATCACATCTACCCAAAGAGCCTCATCTGCCTATACCCCAAAATGAATATTTCCACCCTTATAACATCTCATTTTACAACTGTTCTGAATGACATATCGCTCTTGGGCATGGTGACACAGACTGAAAGAAAAATACTTTGGTTGAGTTTTTGTCATTGTTTTAACACCCAATTAGAATGTCAGAAGTGAAAGAAAAGAAAAGAAACTGTCTGTATCCTAGAAGCAATTCAGAGACAAGCAATATAGTACAGTGGCAATCTCTCTCTAGTAATGAACTGCACATAGACAAACTGAAGCATCACCTACCCAGGAGGCAACCAGGGTAACACACATAGATACTGATTATCTGTTTCCAGTGTGTACAGTAGCTAAGAACTTCACTAACCTCATTGTCATTTAACACTGTATTGAAACATTTCTTTTCAGCTTCCTAATGAAGCCCTACCCTACAATGAAAACCTAATCAAATTCTTTTAACTTGGCATGGTACAGCTTTAAATTGCTATATATAATCTGTGCGCTGAGCCAAGGAGTTGGGTCTATGCTCTTTTTAACTCTTTTCATATCTCCTCTTCCCATAGGGGCACAACAACCCAAGTGTCCTCACCAGCATTGTACTAAGTTATCACCAAGCTCCATCCCTTTTCAAATACATGAATAGCCATTGTTTTGAGCTCAAAACCAGAAGCAGAGCAGATCAATTCCACTCTAACCACTCTCCATATCACACATATGGAAAGTGGAGTTTGCAGTGTGTTGTACACTGAATTCAGGCATAACCTGCAAAGACTTTCTAGAGACCTAAAAGTAACTGTCACAAGATTTGAACAAATTGAATAAATATTTCAACTAATTTAGTGTCTTTTTAAGCAAGGCCATAAGCATAAATGCTCTAGTTTCTAACTGTGGGTTCCTTAACAGGATGTACAGAAGTCACACTTAGGTATTCAAATCATCACCTTAACAGCTGGAACCCAGTGAGAGCTAGTGGTAAAGGTACTGGACTGGACTTGGGAGACAAGGACTCATTCTCACTCTGCCACTGATGTACTGGGTGACCTTGGGCAAAGCACTTCAAATCTTTGCACCTGTTTGCCCTCTCATCTTTTGTCATGTCTATTAAAATCATACACTTTCTGCAAGTTTGTTCAGAAATGTGTTGTGCAGCCTGGCACAATGTGGCCTTGATCTCAGTTCCACTACTGCAATACAAGTAATAATGAAAAATGCACTTAAATGCCAAGTGCATTCCCTGACAAATGTCCTCTTGATGGTACATTCCCCTAAAGGGTCCCCATATTTCTAACAGAGACTAAAGACATGCAAAGGGATGTAGCATAGACCCTGGCATTAATTGCACTTTCTCTGCACCATTTATTTGTCCTAATAGAGCAGCCCATTTGAAAACTAGGGTGGCAGAAATAAACTGAAGCCTTGAAAACAAATGTGGGATTGTGAACTGTATCCGATTCCTATGAAAAATCTAAGATAGATTTCATAGAAATTAGAGACAGGAAAGGCCTACACAGGGTCATCTTATCCAGTCCTATCCACCTCTTCAGGATTAGAGATTACTGTGCATTTTCTTTTCCAATGTCCATTCTAAAATACTATTTTCCTAAGGCAACAAAACTTGAGATAAGGAGTAAGGTAGACTCTCTTCATACCGCTAACGGGCAATATAGAGTGTTTGGGGGGATTTTTGAAATAGATAACTATCAGTTTAATCTATTTTCATTATTAACACACACCTCCTGTGCTAATGGCAATTCCAACAGTTAAAACCAAATTAACTATTGACTCTTTTACCTACTGATATTTAACCACCTAGGCCTTATTTTCCTCTCAGTTACACTGACGCAAATCAGGAATAACTCCAGCATGGTCAATGATATAAGTCCAGAATGAGCGAGTGGAGATGCAAGCCCAGTATTTCCATGTTTATATAAATCCAGCACTTTATAATACTGCACTGTGCTAGTATTTACATATGGGTGGGTTTCTATAAATATGGAAATACAACATTTTATCTCTAACTCCCCAAACTGTATTATGAATCCAGTCCTGGGAGCCTCAGAACCTATCTACATTCTCACCGTGGTAACCAAATTGGCTGAGATTATGTGGGCCCTTCCTGACTGCATCCTATTTTCATTTTCATTACCTTGTTTTTGGTCTCTAGACTGCAGTATGTTGCCCACTGTGCATTGCTTCTTGTCTAAAAAGTCAAGGATCACATCACACAACTCAGAAATTACTTTGACTGGTGCATGTACCACACTGCACTCCAGTTCAGTCATTTCTCAGGAAGATTTATTCCACTTTAATTTTACATGCTAGTTGCTGGCAGTTGCTTAAAATATTAAAGGAAAATGTAGTGCAGGGGAATCCAGGTAGGAAAAGAATAGCTAGGCACTGTTACCCCGTGTTTTGTCGTAACCCCATGCATTTTTCCTTGGGAAGGTTAGTGAAGTAATAAACTGGTAACAAGTAACAAAGTATTCTTAGCAGATCAAAAGCAGAAACCACTTTAACAAAAAGTACTTTCCGGTCTGGTGTGAAATTCCAACCTGTGCAGAAAAGCCAAGAGCCGCAAGAGCTGTGCAGCATATCAGTCCCACTTTAACCCTCAGGGTGAAATGCTGGCCCCAATGAAGTCAGTGGCAAAACTCCCATTGACTTCAGTGGTCCAGGATTTCAGCTTGAGAGGGTAAGCAGGATTCAAAGGGTGCTGCTGTGGATGCTTTGCCCTTTCCCCAGGTGCCATTCTTATAACCCCTTTCCCACCTTGCAACCCTACAAAAGCAGAAAAAAAGATCGCCTGTATATCCCATCACTCCTTTACTGCTTTATTGCTTCTGATTAATGTAAAGGTATATGGGAGAATCCAATCTTTTAGCTCCTTGCTCAGGCTAAATTCCCTGCCCTCAGGATGAGGCTCACCCTCTCTGCAGATTTCAAAACTGCAGCACAACAGGGATCGAAAAAATCCCCAAAGTATATTGCAAAGGAAATCACTTGCTATTTAAAGACCTTCCAATTTGGGGAAATTAATATAGGAACAGCCAACCAACTGTTACAAAGATATGTGCAGAATCTAATTAAAGGGGGTTAGGGAATTAATAACCTTTACAATTCTCTGAATACCTGAAAGCATCCAGTCCGGTGGTTGGAAATGAAGATTCTACATTAAACTGTCAAACTTTCAGAGCGACATTTGCTCAGCAGGTATGAAGTTAAAATGACTCACGACAGTATAGCAAAGGTGACCAGCGTGATCGTCAAGCAGAAGATGGACAGGGAGCAGCCAATGTAACTGATGGATGACAGTGCCACCTGGTGTTGAATGGTCAGCTGTGCATAAAAAGGAAACAACAGGAAAATCCATTAATTGATTTATTAGACTACAGAACTGTATACCCTGACAAAGGCTGGACGGCTTGTCAGCACGTGGCGTTTCAGCGGACATAGCTGTGTTCTTCCTTTGGGGTAGCTCCACCCCAGTCTCTGCGCACATCACTGCATTCAATGCCATTTGCAACGCTATCTAGCATGGGAAATGAATTGCACTATTTGAACTAAAAGTCAGACTCCCAGGGCATGCAAATATGTGTGTCATTTAGTTCCCCTCTTATGAAATACAAGACCATATTTCGTCAGCAGAGGTTGGTTCTATCTACACGGCTGTGATAGTGTCATCCCTGAGATTAGATAAGCCAACAAAAAGCAGTTTATCGGGGCTGCACAAACAATGGCAGGGGTTAGATTGTCATAGCTTTTAAGACACTTTGTAAATGCTCTCATGCTACAATAGCTGACATCATTGTACAGATGCCATCGATGCACCACAATAGTAAGAACTGATAAACCAAGGTAGCCGGTAAATATAGTGCTTTTTAAAGGAGTTGGTTTGACTCCTCTCTCAAACCACAGAAGAAACACAGCAATGGGAGCAACAACATCCACCTCTAACATCACCTCTGATCCTGACATGGAAGGAGTATCTTGTAGGAACAAAAAAGTTATTGGTTTCTGTAAACACCAAATCCTCAGCCCTTCCACCTTACCCAGGGTGAGCATTAAGATGGTTCATTTTGAAACCACTCTGCAGGACAGTGAATGTTCCTGCCGTTTGCCATTAGCTATTCCTTTTATATTTCAACATAAATTTCCTTCTGAGTGAAAAATGTCAAGAAAAGCCATATCCAGTGGTGGAGGCAAGGCAGTATTTGAATGTAAGAAACAGAATGGGACTGGAAGCCATTTGAACATGTCACAAGAATTTTTGAGCCAAATTTTTCTAAGTGTCAAATCTCAATACAAAGTTGAACTTTCCATAAACAGAACACCTGAAAAAAATCTGACTGGTTCAAGCAAGATGTTTAATTGTGATCACTGAGAAATTCTTTCTTTTGATTTCAACCTTTATATTACAAGCGACCTTACATTTCCAGATGAAAACATCTTTTAAAATTGAAAAAATAGATTTTTTTTTTTCATTTTGAAAATGTCTTAAAGGGGAATTATAGCCATTTCGAGACCTATTTCCACATTTGTGTTTTTCAAGGAGGGAATTCACCAAAACTCTCCCTTCTACACTAACAGACTTAATTCCCAAAAACACATTTCATTAAGAAATTCTCAAGCAGCTCTGATAACAAGCTGTTCTTCAAAAGCCCTTTAAAAGCAAGGGGGTGGGGAAGGCAACACAAAGGCTTATAAAAAACAGACTCAGTTTAAATAGAATTGCTAATGATGCGTTTTACACATATGCATCATTGTATTGTAGTTATTTACCAGCGGTGTCAATTCACGTGCAGTCATTTTTGTGGAGACGTGATGGATTCCAGCCCTGACAACAGTCTGCGGATCATTAAATGATGAGACAGATGACTGGTTCGATGGCATAAGGTCCCTATGAAATACACTGTGGCATCTTCTCTCTCAACCAGACATGAGGCTGCCACCAGCTTTAGTTAGCCCCAAATACAGAGCTATAGCTTGTTTCTGTGCTATTGGCAGATAGAAAAAAGGTGCACGTGAACTCTTCAAAAGCATCTCCAATGCACATCCTTATGAGCTGGCCGGCAGAAATGCTGCCTATGGCCACTTCTCTCAGATTATTTCTGCAACATGAACCATTTGTGTGGTAGGCTGGACAGAGGATAGGAGCTGTCACCTGGCTATTGCCGACATACTGTTAGATCACTGGAACAGTACAATCAGGCATAGCCCTTATTACAGAATGTAACCGTATTTTTTAAAAGGTACCTGGGACCTCAAACCACCATGCACTGAGCAAAGAAACAGTGTCTTATAAATCAGGGCATTGTTCCCAATGAGCTAATTCCACCATAGTTTGCTTTTCCTGTATTTTTTCACGCTGTTGGAATTCAGCAGATAATCTTTTAAGCAAGTCAGTTATCCAATGGGACAATTTTGTAGTCCAAGACAAAAAATGATCATCTGTTCCATTAATGATGCAGACGGGTAATAAGACTTACTTTTTTCATTACAAAGAAGATATTAAAGAAAAGTAGATTAAAGAGTATCCAGAGCAACACTGAACCATATGTGAAAAAATGTGATGAGAGCAAATCTCCGAACTGTTTCCATCCACCAAAAAACTTTTTCTGTGCGTCTGAAAAACTTTGCTTCTCTGGCTCCACGGAGAATTTTCTTACTGCAAAACTCCGAAGAAATGTGAAATGCTAGGAAACACACTGATATAGCCTTGGGTGTGAGCAGTCATAAATACTATAAAATACAGATGTTTCTTAACTTCAGCTTTGACAGATGCTCGAAACAAAAGCTCACTTTCCAGATGATCCTCTGCCTCCCCCATACAAATATTGTCAGCTTTCACTATAAAAATGTCATTTACTCTGCAGACCAACACTTGACCGTTTCATAGTTATATCCATATGAAATGTTATTTTCTATTGTTATTATTTGCTCTGAAGAAAGCGATATCAATACACGACTGTAAAATGATCACTTCTCTGACTTGCTAATGACAAATTTATTCATAAATAGGATACAACCTGCATACAAAAACGTGCGTATGCAGGAAACAAACCAAGGTTGTTTCCTTGACTGGTTGATGGAAATAAGGGATATTGTAATTATATTCTTGTACTCCGTGCTGACACAATAGCAGGTTATATTTCGCTGTTGTACTGGTCAACTCTCTTCAAAAGCAGCAGTAGTACCATGAGGTCATTTACAATGGAAACAATTTTGGACCCTGTTTATGCAATTGAACTGTGATCTACCAAGAGACAATCCAGTGCCTGAGCTCAGTCCTACACTGAAATCAACTCTCAAAAGGTGCCAATGCAAACTCTTCCTATGAAACATTTCTTCGTTTTGAATTAAGAACTAAGAACCAGCTAACCTATTACAGCTGCACCTTTAAAATGCAATCTGAATCAAATTAAAGAAGGAATGAATAATTAATTTTGGCAGGCTGAAGTCCTTTGGAGGCATTAAATGCTGGCCCTGGCCGATGAGGCTGATGTTTCTAATTGCCTCCAGAAAGGCTGCTAAAACTGAATTTCAATCCAAATGGGCCTTATTTATATATTAAAAACAAAGTGCCTTGCACTACAATTTCAAAGGAACATTCTGAGTTTCCCTCTTAAGTTTCACTTCAGAAATAGATGCACCAAGGCGAGAATTATGTCTCTGATATGCAACACATTAATTTATGGACAGAGTAGGCATGTCTACATGTGCTTTTACACTGGCTTAAATTGACTGTGCAGTAAATTACTGCACAGTAAGTGGGAATAGGCCAGCATCTATGTTAGCGTTAAAGTGCATTAATGTTGCATGTGGACTGACTTGAGACTAACTTTAGTCCCAAGTTAGTCCACACACAGTGTTACTGCGCAGTAAGGTGTCTACACGTGCGTTACTGCACAGTAACTAATCAGGAGTAAATTTGATACCTACATGATGCAGGTATCAAACTTTTGCTCAAGTTGGCATAAGTCATGGTATTTACTGCGCAGTATGGGTGTGCATGTGTAGACATACCCACCATGTTGGAGACCATAGGTACTTTACTCATTGGCACTGTGCAATCTCTGTTCAGATAAGAAAAATTCTGTTAAACGGTGTGAACAGAGATAGCTCGTTTCCTTTACCTTTTAGATATCAGAATAAATTAGACTTGATTAGGATGCTAACACAACATCCTGGCAGTAGGATCCTCCAAACAGCTATTTCCAACAGCCCTGCTTCTAAATTCTCTCCTTCTACAAAAGGGCTTTTCATGTTTTGAAGGAACATTCTCTTCTCACCAGCTCAGCCACATGGCTGCTTATTAATAACATTTTCACTGACACATGCAAAATCTCAAATTCTCCAAAGGTCTCTGCCAAGGTATTTATTAAAAATTATTTAAGACCATGTAGTCCTTTTCAAAATAGCTGTGGGAAAGATGTCATCAAACAGTAGGTAATCTGCTCCTTACAATTTGCACACAGCAAAGTTTAATTTCAATGAAGTCATAAAATAGAGCAGTAGGGAGGATGGAATCAAAAATTGTGAAGGAAAACTGGAACCAAATTATTGTAAAGGTTTTGAAAGCAACCAAGTAGATAAATCCTTCCTCATGTCTCTGACTTTGTATACAGAGTTCTGCTTTTCTTTCTATATTTTAAGTTGAAGGCTTACATCATTCTTGCCTGGTTTGGTCTTGCTAATATGTCTAACATAATATGTCTAACTCACTGTTAAACTGAAGGAATTACTTTTGTTCATAGACCCCCCCAGGGCCGTGTCCAGACAAGCATGGCTGTGTGGTACGTGGCACCACAGACACATCTGTGGTGCCACGTACCACACATTCAGTTGTTCTCCATGTTGCAAGGGAGCAGAGGTAAAAAAAAAACCCACAAAAAAAAAAGGCCTGGAGTGGTGCATACAGGGGCAGCACACGCCACTCAAAACCAGATCTTGGCTGGCTGGAGGCCCACTCCAGCTGCTGGCCAGGCTCCACAAGGCAGGATTGCCTTTGCTGCAGCCCTGGGAGGACCCCAGGACCCCCAGTAAGGCTGTTGGGTCCAACTCAGTGCTGGCCCCAGCCTCCCCCACCCCACCCAGGGTAACTTGCCACATGCCAGAGCGCCCGTGGCATGGGCTTTCCCCGGGGACAACTAGTGGCAGCACAAGGTGCATTGCTGCTAGTTGTCCCCAGGAAACCAAACAACCACGCACGTGTAGACGTGGTCCATCTGCTCTGCTCTGCTTTGCTTTCTGCTCTTGGTGTGAACAGACTTAATAGACTCCTCCTCCCCAATTAACAGCCAAATCAGGAAAACCAAGGGGGAAGGCCAAAAGGGAAA